CCCCCCCTCAGAGCCACACCGGGCCTTGCTGCCTGCCATTCCCTGCCCTGTGCCTGCCTTCACCCGTCTCATTCCCTCACTACCTTCCTGCCCCAGCCTCATGCCAGGGCCTTTCAGCAAGTGCAGGTGTGACTCCTCCCCCAGCTCAGCCCTGTCCTCCCCTGCTCAGCCCCATCCTCCCCCTGCTCAGCCCCCTTCTCCCCCTGCTTAGCCCCATCCTCCCTGCTCAGCCCAGTCCTCCTTACACAGCCCAGTCCTCCTCCTGCTCAGCCCTGTCCTCCCCTTCTCAACCTCATCCTCCCCTTCTCAGTCCTGTTGTCCTCCCCTTCTCAGCCCCATCCTCTCTGCTCAGCCCAGCCCTTCCTACTCAGCACAGTCCTCCCCTGCTCAACCCCATCTTCTCTGCTCAGCCCCATCTTCTCTGCTCAGCCCCATCCCCCCCTGCTCAGCCCCATCCCCCCTGCTCACCCCCATCCTTCCCCTGCTCAGCCCCATTCTCCTTGCTCAGCCTTGTCCTCCTTACTCAGCTCAGTCCTCCTCCTGCTCAGCCCTGTCCTCCCCTTCTCAGCCCTGTCCTTCCTGCTCAGCCTAGTCCTTCCTGCTCAGCCTAGTCCTCCCTACTCAGCACAGTCCTCCCCTGCTCAGCCCCATCTTCCATGCTCAGCCCCATCCTCCCCCTTCTCAGCCCAGCCCTCCCCTTGCTCAGCCCCATCCTTCCCTGCTCAGCCCTGTCCTCCCCGGCGGCATCTTGCGGAGCCCCCTCTGACCCTCTCAGTGGTCCTATCCGAGGCTCCGCCCAGCCTTGTCTCCCCTCGGGCTGTTCCATGATGAGCTCTGCCAGGTTCATCTCTGTGACGTGTCTGTGAACGTGTGTGTAAATGTATGCAGGTGGATGGAGGTGAGTGTGACAAAGGTGGGGAATGTGTGTGTGTGTGTGTGTGTGTGTGTGTGTGTGTGAAAATGAATGTGTGAACATGTTTATGTTTGAATGGGTGTGATGGGGGGGCTTCAAAAAGTTCAAGAAGTGTAATTACAAAGATACTGGCGTTTTCCCCACAAAGTTTTTGAAGCCCCTCATGTGAATGTCTCTGTGTGTGTACCTATCCACGGGTGTGTGTCGATGTAGGGACGTGTGTGAGTGTGCATTTGTGTATATATCCATGTATGTAGAAGTGCATACTTTGGACATAGCAATAATTTTGTCTTTCTCTGAAACTTAATGGAGTGAAGAGTCAGGTAATTAGGCAGTCAGGTCTCGGTCGTGTCAGTGCAGCTGATATTTCAGGGACTGTCAAGGACACACCGCCTGTCAAGTGGCTTCTCTGCCCACGCGGCAGGGGTGGGGTGGGGTGGGGTGGGGGGTGCCGAAAGTGCACTCTGATCATCAGGTCTTTTAAGCTTTCCCCACGTGGAGTGACCTAGTGGGCGCCTACCTGTGGCTCATGTCTGTGTGGCAAACAGAGGAGACTCTTGCTGTAGTTAGCTCCTGGGGTCACGAATGAGAAGGGAAGGTGGGCAAGGTAGGATTTGGGGGAGTGTGGCCTGCACTGGTGGTTGGTTCGGTCTTTTGGCTTTTGCACCTATGCATTTTTAAGCAGTAAGTTCAGCGTCTTCACTGCGTGGTTGATCGAGAAGTTAGTCATGGTGTCTGAGTTCTTCCTTTCTCGATTCTTCCCACAGCACAACTACCTTGCTCAGGTCACGTCGAATATCTGGGGCACCAAATTCAAGATTGTGGGCTTGGCTGCTTTCCTGCCAACCAACCTTGGTGCAGGTAAAACCCCCCACCTGCTTTCTGCCTGCCCCTCCTCCTCCTCCTCAAGCTGACCGGAAAAGCCAGCGTCAGCCTTAGTCCGTGTACAGGATGCCCGCAAACGACAGCAAGAGACCAGGGCAGGTTCTCCTTGCAGACTCCGATTTCCCGCCATTGAGAATTACAACCCTGACTTGCAGAAATCTCTGTGCAGCTCACTTAGACTTCGAGATAGTGGATTCTGGGCGGGTCATGGTCCCATGTCTGTAGGTTCTCAAATCGAAAAAGTCCCAGAAGGAAGCCTGGAAAACGCTAAGGAGAAGCTGGCTGACCATTAATACCATTCTTACTGGTAAACCTTGATGAATTTCATTTTTAAAAGCCAGGTAAACAGCCTGTTAGCATAATTTTTATTAGTAAATCTTGACGAACTTCATTTCTATATGCGAGGCAAATGTCCCATCCTTGACGAATTTGAGACAGGAAAACTGAGCCAAGAGCATTCAGAGGTTGACTGGACTCAGAAAGTTAGACATGCTGCATTCTCACCTGTGCTCCTGCCCCAAGGACTAGGGATGACTTGCCACACTTTCAGGTGCTCTGCAAAGCAGCCTGCTTGTAAAACAGAGAGTGCTCCTCACCCCCCGCTGCACATCTGCCACCTTAGCTGATTGGCTGCCGGCTGCCCTCTTGAAAGTGGTCTTTGGAGAATTCTGATTTCTGCCCAGGAGAGTTGCTTAATGCAGTTATTGGTGGTGGTGGTGGTGGTGGTAGGTGCCATGCAGCGGGTTTCAGTCCCTCGCATGGTGACCCTGCAGACAACAGGAAGAAACACTGGCCAGCCCCGTGCCATCCTTCCTACGCTCGCGCCTGCTGCACCAGTCTTCCTCGTGCAGGGCCCCCCTCTTTCTCACTCATCTACTCCAACGAGCATGAGGATTCATGTGTATTACGGTGTTCCCAACGGATCTTGAATGTACCGAGCATTTTGCTGCCTGCAGAACAAATAAAACTGTGTCGGAAGAAGCACGACCAGAATCGAGGATGGAGGGCCGGTCTCACTTGCGTTGGGCGTGTCCTTGGAGAGGCCAGGCCCCGGAGAAGGACATCATGTACACTTCAAACCAAACCCAAACCCACTGCCATCGCGTCCATTCAGACTCGTGGTGACCCCGTAGGGCAGGGTGGGACTGCCCTGTGAGTTTCCGAGAACGTCAGTCTTTATGGGAGTAGAAAACCTCTTTCCCCCATAGAGTAGCTGGTGGTTGGTAACTGCTAACCCAGACTTTGAGATAATTACTTTCTGGGCAGATCACGGACCCCCGTTTTTAGGTTCTCAACTCAAAAGAAAGTCGAAGGAAGCATGAGAGACGCCGAGGGCCTTTAAAATAGAAGATTCTAGGCTGTCAGATGGCAAACGCTGCTATTGCTGCAGATGTATCCCCAGAGACTGAAGCTGCATCTGGATTTTTCTTCGTGAGGTTTCTCTACTCCAAAGGAGGGATCTGAGTTCAGCCTAAAACTATCTTGGGCAATCCCAGAACACCAGTGCAAAGGAGGAGGCTGTTCTCAGCGCCCGGGAGACCGGCCGTGGGTACTGACGCCTGTCCTGCAGTGTCCCCAGCTCAGTGCCTGATCAGTAACATGGGTGGAGCTCATGATTATCCCATGTCACTAAGCCAGGGACCCAGCATCTGCCTAGAGTCAATATTGAACAGGCAATGGAGTTGAGCATTTACACAACAGATCCATTGATTCTGCCCTTCTTGGGCGTGGAGCTGAGCCAACACGGCTCTGCAGACCAGGAGCGCCTGTGGGCCCCGCACATACTGCTCCAGGACAGAGACATGAGCACCGGGACGAACGCCTGGTGCAGTGGCATGGAATCATTGTCCTGTCGGCGGCCTTTTTTGAAAGAGTGCTTTGGTCTGTGTCATTTGTCAAGCAAAAGTAATTTTCCACTCGATTCTACTAGAGAAAAGAGATGAGCTCTTGGTTTCTAGAAGGCATATACAGTGCTATCCCTCACCCCTCTTGCCCCAGTGGCATAGTGGTTATGCATTGGGCTGCTAATCACAGGGTCAACAGTTCGAAACCACCAGCCACTCAGAAGAAGAAGAAAAAACAAGCCTTTCTACTTCCTTAAAGAGTTTCAGTCTTAGAAACTCATGGGGACCGTTTACCTTGTCCTGTGACCTTGCCAGGCCTCAGAATTGACTCGATGGCTGTGAGTTTGAAGCCCCCTCTTCCCACGCGCCGCTGACTCTGTGCCATCCTCCCCACAGTGATCTATAAAACCAGCCTGCTGCACCTCCAGCCGAGGCAGATGACCATCTATCTCCCGGAAGTGCGCAAGGTGTCCATGGACTACATCAATCTGCCCGTCTTCAACCCGAATGTCTTCAGCGAGGACGAGGATGACCTGCCAGGTGAGTTTGCCGGCTTCCACCTCTGGGGCCCTGAGAGGGGCTGCGTTTGGGGTGGAGGTGTGGTTTCCAAGTGTGTGCGCTGCCTGCCATATCGCCTCACCTTGGGACAGCTTGACCTTCCCCCAGGAGGTTGGATCTCCTGCAGATCACAGGAGAGACTGGTTTGGGAAGAAAAGACCATCCCAGAACATGCATGATTGAGATGGCGGTGAGGCCTGCATTTGTCGAGCTCCCTCTACCCTGGCACCTTCTGGGAGTTGTGTGGCTAACCGCCCACTCGAGACTGAGTGAGGTCACAACTGACACCCAGTCTCGGGGACCCTGCCCAGGAATGGCCTCTGTGGTGCACACAGTTCACGGACTCCGCTGGAGGTGTATCCACCCAGAGGCTGCTTGGAAGAAAGGTCTGGTGGTTTACTCCTAAAATATCACACACTGTGGACACGCCACAGAGTGTCATTCATTCTGACACACCTGGGAGTGCCCGGCATCGGATGCGACTTGGCAGCCATGGGCTGTGGCTTGGCTGGTGCCCAGAGAACCCAGTTCCCCAAACCTACCCCATCTCTTTGTGTGAGACCCGCCCCTTCTCTAGGTGTGAGACCCGCCCAGACTTTAGGTGTGAGACCTACTGCAGGTGAGCTTCCTCCCGGATGCCTGTCCTCCCTGTCCTCGAGTTAAAAGTGAAGTCTTTTCTCACTTCTCAAAACTTCAGGTCCCAAATCTTCAAACTATCGGGAGCATCGAAAGTTCATTCAGGTGTTTTCTCTCAGGGTCCTGTTTTGAGCACTAGATTAGAATCATCTGAGCAGCCTGCCAGTTATTCCCCACATGGGCATCGGGGCCTTTGAGCAAGCGTGTGCTTAGTGAGTCATTGTCCACCTGCGGTGTCACAGGTGCGGACTTCGTACTGGGAACTGAGCCAGGTCCTGCAACTTCCTGGATTCGAAATCCAGGGGCTGCTGTGTCCAGCATTCATGGAGATGCTATAGTCCTGGAGGCGGGGACACACTGACACGGGCGGTGGGGGTGGGGGGTGGGTGTCCCCTCTCCCCACTCTGCTCCTCCTACCGCAGGCTCTCTCATCCTCTCCTCTGCCCTTCCCAGCAGTAACAGCCTGTGGCTCTGGGAAGCTGCATCTCGGGCCCCTGCTGGGGCCACCGCCGCGCCGAGGCTGCAGGGTGTTCTGCACTTGCTGTTAGGTGCCCTCGTGTCGGCTCTCTCTGCGTACAAGAGAACAAGATAGTGCTCAGGCACGCACCATCCTCACAAGTGTTATGTTTCAGCCCCTTGTTGGAGCCACCATCTCAGGCTATCTCATTGAGGGTCTTCCTCTATTTTTATGACCCTCAGCTTTACCAAGCATGATATCCTTTTCCAGAGACTGGTCTCCCCTGAAAACAAGTATGTAAGAGACAGAGTCTCACCCTTCTCACTTCTAAGGAATGTTCCGGTTGTACTTCTTCCGAGACAGATTTGCTTCTTGTCCTGGCTGTCCAGAGTACATTTCTGTGTTCTTCAGCAACACGAGATCGTCGGAATGCGTCAGTTCTTCTCCAGTCTTCCTTATTCATGGTCCGTCTTTCACACGCACATGAAGCGATCGAAACGGTCATGGCTTGCATCAGGCACACCTTAGTCCTCCAAGGGGTGTGCTTGCTTTCCAGCACTTTGAAGATGTCTGGTGCAGCGCATTTGCCCAAGCAGATACATCGTTGGGTTCCTGACTGCTGCTTCCACGAGCACTGATTGTGGGTCCAAACAGGGAACCCTTGATAGTGTCACTCTTCCCACCATTGTCATGATGCTGGCTGTTGGTCCGGTTGTGAGGATCTGGGTCTTCTTCGCAGTGAGGTGTACGATCCACAGAAGACTCTCATCCATAAACACTTCCTCTTCACCCTCAGCAAGCAAGGGTGTGTCCCAGGCATATCACCACTTGTTACTGAGATTTCCTCCAATCCGGATGTCCTGTTTTTCTCTGTATATTCTAGCCTCTGACTGTTTGCTCCGCAAACAGACTAAATAAGTATGGTGATAGGACACAAACCTGCTGCACACCTCTCCTGGCTTTAGGCCATATTTGGTCTTCCCCTTGTTCTGTTCGAATGTCTTTGTACAGGTTCTGCATGGAGCACCGTGAGGTGTTCTGAATTCCCCTTCCTGTCCATGTTACTCCTGGTTTGTTGGGAGTCATATAGTCTGATGCCTTCTCGTAGTCAGTACGACACAAGAAAACCTCTTTCTGGATTCTCTGAATCTGTTTCTCTGCCTTGTTTTATCCAGGCCTGGCTACAAAACCTTGGTTTCCCTACAGATTACACGCACGCACGCACCCCCCCCTACTCCACCCCACCCCCAGCTTATAAATCAGACCCCAGAGGTACAGCCCAGACCTGTGTGTGCAGAGAACTTCCCATGGGGGTTCCTGGCTATCATGCCTACAGGCACAGACCACCTGACCTTTCTTTTCTTTTCAAAAATTATTTTATTGGGGGCTTGTACAACTCTTACCACAATCCATGCATACGTCCATTGCGTCAAGCACATTTGTACATTTGTTGCCATCATCATTCTCAAAACATTTGCTTTCTGCTTGAGCCCTTGGTATCGCCTCCTCATTTTTTACCTCTCCCTCCCTGCCCCCAGACCTTTCTTGGTGTGGGCTGACACCATGACAGAAGTGGGCCACCTGACCGCTTTCCTGGTGCTGCTGGGTGGGTTTGAGGTGCCACCTACCTGGCTAGTAGCCAAGTGTCACCCACTTGCCCCAGAGACATGGGCGTTTTAAGGGCCCTGTGCCATCACGGCCAGCATGTGTGAAGGTGGCTGTGTACCTGCCATAAGCCCTGTCAGTAAACGGGGTGTGAGTGTGGGGTCCAGGGACAGGGTACATGTTCCAGGCCCAGAGGTGGACTCTGGGCAGGCTCTGGCAAGGCTGCTCTCCTGGCACAGAGGCAGGCCAGCCTCGCCCGCCCAGCCCTGCTCTGTCCTGGAGACCCCTCCTGCTTGGGAAGTCGGTTGCCAGGTGTCTTTGGAAGGGCTTTCAGTGGATTCTGCCTGGACAGGCAAGCCTGCTAATGGCCTGTGCCACCCGAGGGCTCCAGCCCAGCCCTGCAGCAACCACCCCCTTCTTGGGCCACCCCTCTGGGAAGTTCCCCCCTTGAGTAAAAGGCCCAGCGTCCCTAGTGGTGGTCAGAGGCTGTGGGCAGGGCTCCTTCACCTGGTGGCTCCGTTTCAGCCCTTTCGGTAAGCAGCCTCTTTCTCATTTCCTTCCAGTGACAGGGGCATCCGGAGTCCCCGAGAACAGCCCACCATGTACTGTCAACATCCCCATCGCCCCAATCCACAGCTCGGCCCAGGCCATGTCCCCCACCCAGAGCATCGGGCTGGTGCAGTCCCTGCTGGCCAATCAGAACGTGCAGCTGGACGTCCTGACCAACCAGACCGTGGCCGTGGGGCCTGCCGAGCACCCCGGAGACGCGCCAGCGCCTTACCAGGTCCCCAGCCGCTACCCGAGCCCTGGGCAGGTGATCTTTGGGGGCGTGGAGATGAGCCGGCTGATCCAGAACCCGCCCCCTCCGCCCCTGACCCTGCCCCCGCCCCCGCCAGGGCCACTGCCGCTGGCCCTGGCAGACCACGGGGACCGGGACCACGAGCACCTGCAGAAGCCAGCCAAGGTGCTGCGGCCGGCCCCGCCCCTGGCGGCCGAGGGCGACGCCGTGGTTTTCAGCGCCCCCCCGGAGCTCCCGGTCAACAAGATGAACCCGCCGCCTCCCTACCCGGGCACCATCCCGGCCGCCCCCACCACAGCCGCGCCGCCGCCCCCGCTGCCGCCGCCCCAGCCCCCTGTGGACGTCTGCCTGAAGAAGGGCGACTTCTCGCTCTACACGCCCGCCGCCCACTTCCCGGCGCCGCTGGGCTACGAGCGCATCACCACCTTCGACAGCAGCGGCAACGTGGAGGAGGTGTGCCGGCCGCGGGCGCGCGTGCTGTGCGCGCAGAGCACCTACACGCTCCCCGGCCCGGGCAGCTCAGCCACGCTGCGGCTCACGGCCACCGAGAAGAAGGTCCCGCAGCCCTGTACCAGCGCCACCCTCAACCGGCTGACGGCCCCTCGCTACTCCATCCCCCCAGGGGACCCGCCACCCTACCCTGAGATCGCCAGTCAGCTGGCGCAGGGCCGGGCCGCAGCCCCGAGGCCGGACAGCAGCCTGATCCACGCTACGCTGCGCAGGAACAACCGTGAGACCGCGCTCCGGGTGGCCCAGCTGACCGACCACCAGCGCGCCACCCTGCAGCACCTGCCCAAGCCCAAGAGCAGCCTGGGCGCGCCTCCGTTCCCCGCGCGGCCCCCGCCCGCGCTGTACACCTGCAGCCAGTGCAGCGGGGTGGGGGCCGGGGGTCGGCCCGACCCAAGTACCAGCTCCCAGCCGGGCCCGGCGCTGGCACACGCAGCCAGCACATCCCCCTTGACCTCCCAGTCCTCCTACAGCCTCCTGAGCCCCCCGGATAGCGCCCGGGACCGCACAGACTACGTCAACTCCGCCTTCTCTGAGGACGAGGTGCTGTCCCCGCTCCGCCAGGCCGAGAGGCCCCTACGCCACGCCCCGCTGGCGGACTCGGCCGTAGCCACCGCAACGGTGAAGCGACCGCCCCCTTACCAGTGGGACCCCGTGCTGGGCGAGGACATTTGGGTACCCCAGGAAAGGACAGCACAGACTTCAGTGCCCAACCCCCTAAAACTGTCCCCTCTGCTGGTGGGCCAGGGCCAGCACCTGGACGTGGCCCGCTTGCCCTTTATCTCTCCCAAGTCGCCAGCCAGCCCGACTGCCACCTTCCAGGCAGGTTATGGAGTGGGAGTGCCCTACCCGGGGAGCTATGTTAATCCCCAGCTGCAGGGGGTACAGGTCCCCTGCACCCCAAAGGATGCCCTGGCCCCTCCCCAGTTTTCCCAGCCGGAGCCTGCCATGGTCCTGCAGCCGGCCTACCCTCCCAGCCTCTCTTACTGCACCCTGCCCCCCATGTACCCAGGAGGCAGCTCCTGCTCCAGTCTGCAGCTGCCACCCCTCGCTTTGCATCCCTGGAACTCCTACAGCCCATGCCCCCCCATGCAGAACCCCACGGGCACGCTGCCCACCAAGCTGCACCTGGCACCTGAGAAGCCCATCGTCCCACCACCCCCTCCGCCCCCTGCCGTGCAGAGCCACGTGGGCACCGAGGTGGTGGTGGAGACAGCGGACAACTTCCAGGAGGTGCTGTCCCTGACGGAAAGCCCCGCCCCACAGCGCTCAGAGAAGTTCGGCAAGAAGAACCGGAAGCGGGTGGACAGCCGGGCGGAGGAGGGCAGCGTGCAGGCCATCACGGAGGGCAAGTTGAAGAAGGAGGCCCGGACACTGAGCGACTTCAACTCCCTGATCTCCAGCCCCCGACTGGGCCGGGAGAAGAAGAAGGTGAAGAGCCAGAAAGACCAGCTCAAGTCCAAGAAGCTGAACAAGACCAGTGAGTTTCAGGACAGCTCAGAGAGCGAGCCGGAGCTCTTCATCAGCGGGGATGAGCTGATGAACCAGAACCAGGGCGGCAAGAAGGGCTGGCCAACCAAGCGCAGCCTGCGCTCGGCTGCTGAGCTGGATGGCTTCAAGTGCCGCAAGGCCAGCGAGCGGGAGGAGGGCCGGCTGGGCAGCCAGGGCTTCGTCTACGTCATGGCCAACAAACAGCCCCTATGGAACGAGGCCACCCAGGTCTACCAGCTGGACTTCGGGGGCCGTGTGACTCAGGAGTCAGCCAAGAACTTCCAGATCGAGCTGGAGGGGCGCCAGGTGAGGGGGGTCAGGCCAGGCTGTGTGGGTGGCCATGGGGTACTCAACCCTTGAGACATGGTCTCCCCCAGGCCAGCCTGCTATTCAGGAACCTGGGGTGGCTGGGTTGTGTGGGCGGATGTGGGGTATCAAGCCCTTGAGGGGCAGTCTCCCCCAGAACCAGGATGCCTGAGGTTCAGGATCAAGGTGGCCAGGCTCAGTGAATGGGTGTGGGGCACTCAAGGCAGACGAGAAATCGGGGAGCAGCCATGTCTTGGGAACCAGGAGGCGTGGACTTTAAATGTTCCTGGTGCGGCCTTTTCTTTATTCAAAGAGGGTGTGGCCCTCTGTTTAGAATCAGGTAACTACAAGACCTACAGCGCAAAGCGTCCCTCTCTCAACCCTGGCCTCCTCTCCCTGTTCCGCTCCTGATCCCCGCTCTCCCAGGGACAGAGGTCTACCAGCACCTGTCACTTGCCACCACGTTTATATGGCTGAGTGTTGAGGGCATGGCTGTCAGCGAGCACCTCTGTCTCGAGCAAGGTCGGGGCTAGGTGCCCTCGCCCCAGTGCTTCCCCACACCTGTGCGCACACACAAGCCGAAGACCCGTGGTGAGCTGCGTACCTGTGAGCGCTGTCCACAGGAAGCCTGATCCGTGGTTTCTCTCTCTGTTCAGCTCACTCCTCTAGATCCAGCCACCGCCTTGGTCACTTTGTCCATGCACTTACTTCTCTCTGTGCTCATTTTGCTCCTCCCTGGTTCCCGGGCACAGTGTCGGTTTCCTCCGGCCGGGTCAGCAGGCCCATGCAGTGCCATCTCCCCTGGCTCCAGCCTGGCTGAGCTGCTCAGCTGAGCTCCTCTGGTCCTGCGCCCGTGTAGAGCTGCTGCCCTGGGTGGAAGGCCCTGCCTTACTACCGGGAGTGCCCCAAGCCTGCAGCCACTGGGCTGGGGTGGCGAGGAGGTGACCAAGAAGTCCTCTGCAGTGATGCTTGGTGGTAACACCCCCACAGGGCCCTAGGCGGGTTCTCCTCCTGCCCTGCCCTCCCTGCCCTTCACTTGGTGAGGAACCCACCGGTGCAGACCGCTGAGATGCCACATCCACAGCTCACCCATTGTCGCCTACCGTTCCCTTAGGCGGGCTCCTCGGCCCCTGTAATTCCTGCCTGCTGCAAGTTTGATCTAGAAGCTTCTGTGGGCCGACTGGCTCAGAGATGGAACTGTCCGCTTCTGTGAGGAGATGGGCTTGCCCTGTCCTGCCTGCACCCCTTTTCCACTAACGTCTGTCTCTGTCCCCCCACTCTGTGTCCCCCGCCTCACAGGTGATGCAGTTCGGCAGGATTGATGGGAACGCCTACATCCTGGACTTCCAGTACCCCTTCTCGGCCGTGCAGGCCTTTGCCGTCGCCCTGGCCAACGTGACGCAGCGTCTCAAGTGACCGGGGCTCCGCACGGAGGTCTGCCCCAGGACCCCGCCCTCGGACAGCCTCCGTCCGCACTGGAGCCCCACGCCCGGCCAGCAGAGGGCGAGGACTCGGGAGGCCCCTCTGCCGTTTATTTGGGCTTTTGTTACCCTCACACTGTCTCTCTTTCCGTTCTCCTTTCTTTGCGAACAAAACCAAAATGCTGTCACTTGGCTTGTGGTGCTGGCTCCTGGGGCGGGGAAGGAGACGAGCTATGGCAGGAGGCAAGATTGCCTTGCCCGCCGTCCCTAGACTAGAGCCGTGTGTTATTTCCTCGTCCAGCCCGTGTGACCCCTCCAACATCACCACTAGCTCACAAACAAGAGAATTTTGACAAAACACAACCAAAAATCCTGACGGTTCCCCGGAGGGAGGGGCAGCACTGAGCTCCCCACTGTGTTCAGTCCCCCAGGGCCACTGGCCCTGGGGCTTTATAAGGGGCTGTTCTTACTGGCCAGATCCCCAGGTGGTGATGCAGGGCGGACAATAGGTGAGGAGGGGGCTCCAGACACCAGCCCTGCTCTGGGCATGCTCTGCGACACCTGGATGACCCAGCCAGCAGGGCCTGAAACCATCCAAGGAGACACTCCACCTCGGGTGTCTGCAGGCTGGTGTGGCTGTTGAGAATGACTGACCCACGGAGCAGGTGACCAGGCAAACATGAAAGGGGCCCAGGCCTGGGGAGGGGGTCCCTCCCTGATGCCCACTGCTGAGAATCCCAGCCCCACCCCTCGCTTGTCCGTCCTGCCCTTCCACAATGGAACCCTCCACCTCCTCTCCAGAAAAGGGCTGACCAGGTGGGATTGGAAGGTTCTCCTTTCCTTCTCCGGCCTGCCTCACACTCCAGTCAGCTAAAGGTGTCTCCCACTGACTAGAAACTGAAATTTTTTTTAAAAAGAAGAAAAAGAAATAGCAAGCATTAGCCAGGGTATGGAAAAAGAGGAGTGTGGTGGCTAAGTTCTTGATGGAAGTTCACGATCTTCAGGGAAGAAAAAAAAAGTTAAACTGTCCGGGGAAAAATAAACCCACTGGGGAGAATTGGCAAAACGGTCGTCCTGAAGGTCATGTTGGTTGCTTTGGGGACTCAACCGAGGGTACCTTTGCCCACCTCCCTCTTCCTCAGGAGGACAGTTTGGGCAGGGGTCCCCCAAGGAGCAGGAGACCGTGGGTTTCAGCTTGGTGTCCTTCCCACGCCCTCCCCACCCCCTGGTCATGTGTAGCTGTGACGTCACTTAGGGCCGGAGCCCGCGAGGACTGGACTGGCTTGGGGCCAGGTTCTGTTGGCAGGCAGGCCGTTAATCAGGCAGTGCCACAAGACACGTGGTTTTGGAAGCTCCCGGTTTTGGTGTTCTGAGCCGGACAATAGGGTGGCCTCGCGAGAGGACACCAGCCCATCCCCTTTCTGGTGCAAGAAGGGTCCCCTTAGCCGTCCCCACGGCCGGCGGAGGTCCTAAAGAGCTCTGTAAATAGGACGGAGGAGGTCTGCCAGTTAACGCACTCTCCCTTTCTGTGTAGAAAGCCCGGAGGGAGTTGGGGTGGGTACCTCCTTCCAGAAAGAACTCAGCAGTGTGCCTGGGATGGCCCGGGATGGTTTTCTCTGCGTTTTGGTAGCTTGCTGTGGTGTTTTCGATGCTCATTATCAGTTGTGCAATAATGATTACAGCCTGTTTCCGAAATAATTTAAATGCAATTCCCTGTTTGGTCCAAGATCCCTATTTATCTTTGCCTTGAGTAGTGATTTATTTTATGTTTCTTGGTGTGGTGGGTTTTGTTCTGTTTGGGTTTGTTTTTTTTTTTAATTACTTTGTTCCTATACATTGGTGAGTTCTGCCCATTTGGTTATTTATTTAGAAACCCAGTATCATTGTAATGACGTCTTGGTGGCGGTGTACTTTGCTGCAAGAAATAAAAAGGATGTCAATAGAAGGAATTCCTGCTGGACGGTTTGTCACCCCCTCCCCCTCCCCCATTTGAGCGGCACTGCCTGTTCACCTGCATTGGGTGGTATCAATGACAAAGGAGAGCGTTTCTCCGAGGTAACACTCCTAAAATAACTTCTCACCCTTCTTTGGAAAAGGTTCTGTTTCACTGGAAGTATCGTGGGTAGCGAGGAGGGAGGTGGTGGGGGAGGTGTATCAGCAGGTGAGCGGCAGAAGAGGGGCATGGAGCAGTGTGCTTGGCTTGCTAAGGTCCGATGGTTTGTCAGAGAGAGAGTACGGGACAGGACACATGTGGAACACCCCTGTGACACATTGGGGGGCAGTCCTGGAAAGGAAAGCAACAGATGCCCGAATGGAGCGGAGGTAGGTATGCATGGTCCCTCATACGCTAACCTCGCTGAATCGCCTTTGTGTGCTTGTCATTGTTCAGCTGACTCAATTCTTAAGGAGCCCGAGTGGCCTAGCAGTGAAGTGCTTGAGGGCCAGCAACAGGGCGGTGGCGCCGAGCCCCCAGCATCCCACAGGAGGAAGGGCTCGGAGCCATAAACACAGCCTAGAGAACCCAAACGGGCAGTTCTGCTGTCACCGTGGGGTTGCTCGGAGATGGAATGACCCCACAGCACCCCAGGACAGCAGCAGCCAGCAAATTCTTACTGAGGGGCCTCCTGGTCTCCACGTAGAGGCAGACAGCCGCGAGCTTCAGAGTGGTGAAGGTGCCATGGGAACCAGCCCCACCCAACACCGACTCCTACTCCACCTGCAGCGACCAGAGGGGCAAAGGCTCTCATTGGCCAAGAGAGACTCAGTGCTGCCCGCCGCGGTCATGCCCAGTCACACGTAGGATGCCACCACCTGTTTGCTTTGCTCCAAACCCAGTCCTGCGCATTTCACTTGTTTGGGTACTTTGTTCGCCTACATTTGTAGATCGAGCTGTCGGTTGCAAAGCAACTTTTTAAATTTGTATTTTGATTTTTTTGTTGTTGCAGTTTTAATTGAATTTCCTGGTGACAATATACACAGTTGATTATACATAAAACAAGAAAAAAAATGTCCCCCCCAGTCAACCAGTCTCTATTTACTGCTCAAGTGCTAAGCATGTCTTTTATGTTTATCAATAGCAGTTTATGCATATTCATAAACTCATATTCAATCCCTAAATCTAAAACCAGGGATCTGGTATAAACTACAACATAAAGAATCCATGACATGTTGGGGTTTTATTTTTTTAGGTGCATTTTTCTTCATGTAGCTTGTTTTAACTCAAAATTAAAACCAAGGAGCGATGGTCACCAGACTAATCCGGTGGTGGTGGTGGTGGTGAGGTTCCAACTCCTAGCCCCTTATGTACTACAGGGCCCAACCAGGCACCCCCTTCACAGCCGTTACTCTCTCAGAACCGGAGTTGCATCCACTGTGTCAGCCCATGTCTTTGGGGGTGGTGGGGGCAGAACTTTCTCTTGACTCAGCATGGCGGCCTTCTCTAGGAACTGGTCCCTCATAAAATGGTACCTTGTAAAAGAATCCGCACTTGAAGCCCCGCTACAAGGAAGTGGAAACCAGACCCCGGGGTCCTCAGAGATGCCCTGCTCCCATAAGTGGGAAGAAAGCAAGCAAAGTTTGGGGATATTGAAAGGTTGTGTCCCCCTCTGTCCTGTTGGTGGTGGTTGTGTGCCATTGAGTGGGTGGCAGCCCTATATTGCAGTGGTTCTCAACCTGTGGGTTGTGGCCTCTTTGGGGGTTGATCAACCCTTTCACAGGGGTCGCCTGATTCATAACTAGCAAAATTAGTTATGTGGTAGCAATTAAAATTTTATGATTGGGGGGCTCACCACAACATGAGGAACTATATCAAAGGGTCACAGCATTAGGAAGATTGAGAACCACTGCTATAGAGCCAAACACGCACCAATTCAACAGTGTCTGCGTGCGCAATTTGGTGACATTGATGGCAGCATATTTCAAGTTGTGCAACCGTCCTCACCTTCCTCGTCCGAGTTCTCCTCCCATGAACAGAAGCTCTCTGTCCCATAAAGTTCCCATCTAACCTTTCTAGTTTCCGTTGTTGATTGATCCCCCTTAGGTAGTTCTTAGAGAACAGTGCAGTAGGGAACATTGGTGCACACGTTACTATTTGAGAGCCCTTCAAGTCTTGGGCATACCTAGATGTGGAATGGCTGGGTCACATGGTAGTTCCATTTTTAGGTTGTTTTTGGAGAACTGCCTCACTATTGTTTTCACAACAGCTCCAACTACTTCCATTCCCAGTCTCCCCACATTCTCACCAACGTGCATTATTTTCTGGGGGTTTGTGTGTATCTTGGTTATGTCAATGGGATTGAAAGAGCATCTCACCGTGGTTTTGATCTGCATCTTGATGACTAAAGACACACCATCTTTTCACATATTGGTGCCCATGTGCCCTTTTAAATGCCTGCCCGTTGTAGGATTTGATTATTTGTCTTTCTGTTGGGAAGTTGTCAAAGGTTTACATATATTTTGGTTATTAGAGATTGTCCTGGTCGATAGCTTGTCCTTTCCCTTTTGAGGTAAAAGCCTTTTGATGCACAAAAGCTTTTACATTGCATGGGGCCCCGTGCATTTATTAGGTCTTTTGCTGCTCATGTTTTTGTTATTAGAGAATCCATGGTTGAAAGTGACTGGCCCTGCTTAATCTTCTAAGAGTGTTGTGGTTTTAGTTTGCGAATGTAGGTCCTTAATTCCCTTTTGGATTTCTTTTTGTTTATGTATGGTGTGAGGCAGGGATCATGTTTTGTTCCTGAGCCTGTGGAAATCCAACTTTGCCAGCACCACTTAATTGGGGTGGGGTGGGGTGGGGACACCAGCTTTTCTTTCCCCGCCAAATGGGCTTAGCAACCCTGTCAAAAAATCAGTTGACCATAGATGCATGGGTTTATTTCTGGACTCTCAATTCTATTCCATTGGTCTCTGTCTATTGTTACCCCAGTGTCAGATATAGTATGTTTTCAAAGGACCCATGGCTTTTTTTGGTTGTTTTTTTTTGACCCATGCCTTTTTGATAGAAATAATTCTGATAACAAATCTAGAAGCCAATGTCAAACTCAAGGTAACGCTGACCTTATCAGAGGCACAAACTTGGTACCGTGTCCCCCCTTAAGGCTCCGCGGCGGGACGCTCTGAGACCAGGGGTTTTCCTTGTTAGAGGTGCCTGCCAAGGCAGGGGAAACTTGCATTGCACTATGGGCCGTCAGGAGAGCCGGGGTGGGGCCAGAGGCAAGCCCCTGCAGCTGTGTACACTCCATTGGCTCCTCTGTCCAACGAAAGGGAGCATCTTCTAAACAGCTTGTAGCCCCAACAGCCGGAGGCCTCCCAGTTTCCCTCACCACCGCTCCTCCGACTCAGAAAGCCCTGTTTCAAGACACTGCCTTTCTTGTAGAGAGAGTTCTTTCCCTGGGCTGACGTCTTCTACACACAACCGATGCCTTTGAAAGGCGTGCTTCTGACCATTTCTTTCCAGACCTGCACATCTTTGAGCCTTGCTTTTTCTCAAAGCCGACGAGGAGGGTCCCCCTCTGTGGACGCTTTGCAGACAGCCTTGGGGGCAGCCCTCAAAGAAGTGCCATCCACCCCCCAAAACCGGTGTGTGGATTCAAAACAGAACGAAGGAAGTAGCAGCACCCTGCCAACCCAGTGCTCCCCCGAGCGGCACTGCCCATGCAGCCGCGTGGGAATGAGCCCTGAGGTCCCTGCGGGGGCCATCCCCTCACTTGACTAAGTCAACGCCCACGTGGACCCCAACACTTGAGACCCAGTGTGTCAGAAGTGCCGCTTGAGCCCGCCCTGGGTGTGCGAGTCCAGGGGAACTCGCGGAACAGCCCCCTTCAGAGGGGGCGGCTCTTGCTTGGGCCGTTTCCTTGTAACACGTGCCCGCATCTTCTGTTTACAAGTTCTTTCTGCAGGAGGAATAGAGTTTTAGGATCCCGTCATCTGCTGCAGATGGAAAAACAAAACTTTTCGTGTTGCAGAAAGCTTGGGTCCTACATTTGACTTAAAAAGGCAGTTTTATTTCCCACGGGATTTTATGAGGTTGTATGTGAAATACGTTCGTTTTGGTGCCGTACATGAGACCATAATTTCCAGCTTTGTGACTACTGACGTTCCCTCCCACCCCCACCCCTTGTGTGAAGAATGTGAGTGCAGTCAGGCGGTGGGCAGAGCCAAGACCAAACCAGACCACCAGCATGTGGGCGTGGCGTGCAAATCCCTGCAGGCCTTGACCCCCACAATGTGATGTTTTTGTTCGGTTTCAGTTTTCAATCCAGCATCCTGCATTGTGTCACTTTCCAAGCAAGATCAGCCGAGGCACGACCCCCGACCCCTTGCATTTTACTGAGCTCTCGCCTGCCTTCCCACCCACCCCCATGCCCTCCCACCCGGTGTCCTGCGTGATTAGATCGAGCGGGAGGTATTCCAGACGCACTCGTGGTCCCCGTTCAAAATGATGTGGATTGTCTGTCTGTCTGTCTGTCTGTCTGTCTGTGTTCCCGAGATGGCGTTGTCTTTGTTTTATCCCCTTGATGATGTGAAATTGTAAGAGTTGTCCAAGCTATTGCTTGATAAACATTTTGCAGATCAAAGATTACACATAAAACGCTGTGTGTGTGATTCAGATGTGGGTCTTGAGCCCTGAGAGAAGTGGTCCCCTCCGATGGATGCTTGAGGACCTTCCCTGTGTATAAGGCAGACTGGAGCCATCAGAGGTTGCGCATCTGGGGAGAATGTATCTGTTCATCACCTAAAAGATCAGTGGTGAAAACAACAATCAAACGAAAAGATCAGAGGTGCTAGCTAAATATATGCACCTACGTAATGTAATGTGGCTGTGAGCTAACAAGCCATTGTCATTATTTTGCTAATGAGTAGGGGTGAGCCACCTGTAGGTGTGGGGGTGGGCAGGGGCAGGAACTTGAGGGTGGAGGAGCACTTTTACAGGACTCCCCCTTTGGT